TKGATTTTTATTAAATTTAAATATTTTTTGTTCCATCCAAGTACGAGTGTGGTAAGGTGTGCAACAGCCCCCGCYGTGCACTAGGAAACACTGGGCTGAAAACTGGATGTGAATTTATCCTTCCTGCTGGAACCAGGCTCCCTCTGTGCCTGCTGCTGTGGAATGGGTATTTCCCTGACTAAASAGTCGCATTTTTCTGAAGGAAGGATGATATCTTTGCCTTCAGCTCTGATGCAGTGTGACAAGTACCGTAGGACCTGTCATCATTTATGAAGTCAGCTCTGTTTCAATGTTAATAAGTCCTTAATCAAGACATTTGTTTCATCCAGGATGTCACATTTAGCAGGGAATTGTCAAATGCTTGAAAACTGGAATCACAGGAGCACTATTTGATGCTAAGTGGTATCTGCACCATATCTGAAGCTGGAASATGCCAGGAAAACATCCTTCACATTCTGCACTGATATTTCCAAGCTTTCAGGACCAATCATGGGTTGGCTGGGTATGTACATTAAATCTCTCTGTTTATGTGTGGCATACTATTATATTCTATATTTAGTAACTCGTTCTCACATTGCTTATCTGTTCCTTATTTTCCTTGGCTGGTTCTTCTGCTTTTTAAAATAATACTGTGCAGCGTTGGGCCAATCACTTGAAACCAAGATTGACGCTCTCAGTCCAACAGAAAAATAACTGAAATTTAAAACTGGTGCTCCTCATTCTCGTCTGCTTGTGATATGTAAGGAAAAAGAAGAGGCTTGAGCCAAGCAGCTGCTGGTGGGATTAAGTGGGAAGCTGTCCAGGGAGACCAGGTTGATGATTATCATCTCCTGTTCCTGATGTTGTCTTCAAGAGGAACACGGCTAAGGGCTAAAATTGTATCTCTAATATCTAGTTCCTGTAAATCTTTTCCACTTGAAAAGAAGAACAGGAAGTTATAGTGAAATCATGGCAGATATTGTCCCAATGCATTTTCCTTCTTTTAWTTAAATTACATTTAATATTGTGCCTTTTTTTTCCTAGTATGAGCTTGTTTCTGTCTGCAAATAGGTACATTACAGTGGCAGTGGTAATAGGAAACACACCTGTACATGCATCATCTCCTGCTATAAAGCAGTGCCATTATGTACAAAACATCTGCAAAGTGGAAGATTGAAAAGTCTTTTTTTTTTTTTTTGCCTTAGGGAACAGTTTGTATTTATATTTTAACTCTGCTGTACCGTTGCATCCTTCTCATGAGCCAGACCCCTTGTGGTAATTCTGTGCAGACACAGAAGGAGTCCTGGTCATATCTGTGGGGAAAACATTCTGGTTTGCTGTTTTCCCCTGTTTCTGTCCTGAAATAGTAAAATATAGCTTTAAAAAAGAATTATAAAATAGTACTTCAGATTTTTATTTTGAGTTTCCACMGTCATTCCTGGTTCCAATCAGTTGATCAAAAATACTGAATGTATTAAGGATTCATGTTTTCTTTAAAAAAAAAATGTTGTGTTCTCCTAAAAGCCCTTTTTCTCTATAAAATGTTGTATTTGAATTTAGTCCAAGTCATAATGAGTGCTGGAGCAATTAAAGTATCAGCCACTATAAGGAGTCTTGGGAGCACAGGAGACAGATAGGATCAGGGTTTAAGCTACTTAAATACCTTTTATGAGAAATAAAGATTTCACAAACCTCAGTTTCAAACAAAATAGTTGACATATGCTAAGCTCAAAGTACTAAACTTCTTCTCCTGCCCTCTCCCACTAAACAAATAAAGATCTATGAAATATTTAAACTTTATATCTGCAGGAAGAAAGAAAACACTTTATTTCTATTTAAAAATTTTTGGCAGGTGCTCAGATATTTATGATAATRGGATCATAAAATGACGTGGAAAGGTTAGCGGGAAGGTGTGGTGGGAATTTTGAGTGTGACTTTGTGAAATGTCGCATTTGTTAAATCTTAGTCTAAGATTCCAATGGGTGTTTGTGCATTTACATGTGCCACAGTATAGTTATTGTGYATTAGGAAATGCTTAAATCAACAAAGTGTTTGTGTGGAGGGCTGGATCAYGCCTTTACATGCTGCAATCAGTTAAATTCCTTTGATTTAATTCTTGTAACCATTACCCTTAACAAAAAAAAAAGAAAGAAAAAGCCTTTTAAATATTTTTCATTAACACATACTATTAAGTGGGTAAGTGCCCTAAGTATATTTTAATTTAATTTAGATTTAACAGCAACATTTTTCCCATACTAATTAAATGCCAGTTTGTTATTAAGAAAATATTTATTGAAGTTGAACTTGGTGATAGATACATATCTATCACATCACTGTTAAACCTCATTAAATAGTGTTTTAATTGCAATTTGTTTTTAATTACCATTCATTAAGCATATTATTAAATCTAAATTGCRTGCTTATGAAAGACGAGTTTGCCAATACAAGTGGCTGAGGCCCTTAACTACTGCCTCGCTTTTAGGTTCCCATCATTTGAAGTGTGTGGGGTGAAAGTTTGATCTATATATATTGTTTCTATTATTATCTCCCTCGCTGCCTGTGTCTCCCATCTTTATTAACTGAATTATTAACATCTGAGGCRGTCAACAGATATCAAAGGCAAAGAGAGTATGAAAAGAGGTGACAAAACAGGTCTTTGGGCAAGGAAGCAGGGAGGAAGGGAAAATAGCAGTTAAACAGGGCAGTGATACCAATTAGCTAAATTGGAAAAAGGAAAGGATGGGGACTGGGAGYCTGAAAGATGCAGAGGGATGCTGTTAATGACCTGAAGAGCTTTTKAACTTTGGCTGATCATGGATAATGTGGCCAGGGTCAGTCTGAGACAGCCCTGCAGATAGAAGTTGAGGAAAGAATTACTGGTCCCAGTCTGGSTCTGACACAGCTGCCAGTGTGGGAAGGGCTCATCCTCAAGATCAGACAGAGCATCCTGCTGCTCTGTACAGTTCACAAACAGTCATAACAAAGAAACACCAACACCTTTCAGTTTTTCCAAATTTTGACCCAGAGGCAGCTCTGCCCCACTTTAGAAATACCACTCAAAGGAATGAATGTATGGGATGTCTGAACTTGCTTTTTTAAGCTGTGTTTGCCTGATTTTTTAGTAGTAGCCCATGAATCTAAGCCCATGAATCTAAGGCAAAAATCCTGAGATAAGAAGCTTTCTTTTCTAAGGATATCAGTTCTTTCAAGAAAAAGACCCCACTGAGTTAGGTTTTTAAAGGCTGGGTGGTTTTTTTTTTTTAAGATCTTAAAAGAAAAGAGTCTTTTGGAGCCTTCCCTCTAGGAGTGACACTTGATTTTTGCCAACAGGCAGGAAAGGGTGGGAAGAAAGGTGTGAGGTTGTTCTTCTGCTGGAGATCAGCTCAGCATAACCAGTTAGAGAGCTGGAGAACCCTTCCCAAGGGAGATGGAGAGGCAGCAAATGACAGAAAGCACTGTCCCTCATGGGTGCAGTGTTGGAATCCTTTATTGTGCCAATGTCTGACCCTGTYAGAACACTCAGGGAGGAATTAATGTGAGTGGGGGCTTCTCAGTGCCATGGGGGAGAAAAGACATTTATATGTGGAAACAGCAGAATCAGCCTGAGGTAYTGCCAGCTTTCCCATGGGCTGGATAAAGAAACACAGTAAAACTCTGCACATTGACACTCTYTGGCTCTGGTTCTCCCCGCTCTGAGGATGGTTTTGTTCCAGGTTATCTCCATTGACTCCAGTGGATTATCTCCAATTCACAGTGCAGTTCAAATCAGAGGCAGGACATCTTTTCTCCTCTTTCCAATTCATGAATCTCTTTCAAAACCTTCTGTACCAGATGTTACAACTGTAAGCAAATCATCCTGGCAAACCAAAGTATCTCCTCATGAGTCTGTGTCACAGTAGGCCCTGGTGCCTCTATCTGCCTCTGGATCTTTTGCTCATAAAAYATCAGTTATACAAGGTTTTTTTTGGCAGATGGGTATCTTCCATGAAAAAGCCATTTCCATTCCAATGCAACAGTGCTTTTATATGGCCCGTTTCAGCCCCTGTTGCACAACATTTTCTGCACAATGATTCATTATTCTATCTTTCTTCTTGATATGCTGAATCATGGGATGAGGCTTTGCCAGCTGCTTTGTATGCCAACAATAACTCGCTCGTGTTTCAGAGATGGAGAAGGCTGCACAAATCACTGCAGCACAGGGAGCCCGGACGTTTGGCTGAGGGGAGCTCTCAGCAGGAATTTAAACTCCACATGGATGGGGAAGTTACCTTTCAGCTCCTGCTCTCTTTGGATGGCTGGAGGGAGCTGCACATGGCCTCCACTTGTCTGTACGAATCTGGAGAAGGCTGAGGCTCCTGCTGCCTCCAAACTGATGGCAGTCAGCCCCTCCTGCATCTCTAAACTGATGGCAGTCAGCCCCTCCTGCACCGTGGTCCCTCAGCTGAGAGGACATAAATCAGTCCCCTCCTCCATGGAGCACCATCTGCACTCAAAGGCTTGACTTAGCAGCAACGTGGAACGGTGGAGGAGGTTTTGGAATGACCCACACAGATCCATCAGGTGCCTCTGTGGGGTTCCCTGACACCATCTCAACACGTTGATGGGAGGAGGCACCAAATTCATCCCTTTCCTGCTGCAGCAGCCTCGACAGTGCACATTTCCCACGAGTCCTCCCGTGGCTCCTGRGTGCAGGGGTGCTGGGTTACASCACAGCTGCTCGCTTTCCATAAYTCAGGGCTTGGGTAATKATTTTTAACTTYTATTTAAAAATTAATTTGCTTTTGTCAGTGATGCACAGGGTCCTCGCAGAGGCAAATGATGCTTTCCCTTGGCTATGTTGAAGTTCTTTCTGATTTGTTTTTGCTGGGAGATTCTAACTGTAGCTATTTATCTGATCACAGAGAATTCAGAGTTCACTGAGTATATTTACAGCTGTTCTGAGAAAAGGGACAAGATTTTGGTCAGAAAGGAATATATTACACTTCTTGAAAACAGGAGTGTTAAAAGAAATGCTCTTGTATTTTTAATACTTTTTTTTTTTTAATTTGAATGCTGTATTGTAATTCTCAGTGTACTTCAGTTTGTAGAACAGCACAGTACTATAGACCTTACACACTTCAGACAGCCACTTGAAAGTCCCTTGGTTTTCTTTTGAAAACAGTAAACCAATGAAAAAAAAGATCTAGATTATGAAGGTGGTGTCCTAATAGACCTTGAGGGTACATGTGCACATCTAATTTTTAAGYGTAATTATTACAAAAATTCCATATACAAAAGTATCCAGTAGTTTTAGGTGTTATAACCTGAGACTTCTCTAAGGAATGTTCCTCCCCCTGTGCTAATTGAACACTCATGTTCCACAAGAATCTGTCCCTGTGCAGTTGGGCTTTGATGTGAGATATTAGAAAGGTCAGATTTTAAGAAAAGTGTGGACAYAATTGTCTGACACGTGGATGTACAGAAAAGGTCAAGGGACTCRATGTTTTTATTCAGAGTTGTGGGTATGGAAACATTCCTCTGATG